ACACACTGACACACACCATCACACACTGACATATACTGACACACACTGACACACATTGACACACACTATCACACACTGACACACACTATCACACACTGACACACACTATCACACACTGACACACATTGAGACACACCATCACACACTGACACACACTGACACACACTATCACACACTGACACATACACACTGACACACGCTATTATACACTGACACATACACACTGACACACACTGACACACACTATCACACACTGACACACACTATCACACACTGACACACACTGACACACACTATCACACACTGACACATACACACTGACACACGCTATCATACACTGACACATACACACTGACACACACTGACACACACTATCACACACTGACACACACTATCACACACTGACACACATTGACACACTATCACACACTGACACACACCATCACACACTGACACACACTGACACACGCACATACACTGACACATACACACTTACACACACTGACACACACTATCACACACTGACACACACTATTACACACTGACACACATTGACACACACTATCTCACACTGACACACACTGACACACACACATACACTGACACACACACAGTATCACACACTATCACACACTGACACACACTGACACACACCATCACACACTGACACACACTATCGCACACTGACACACACTGACACACACCATCACACACTGACACACACCATCACACACACTGACACACACACTGACACACACTGACACACATTGACACACACTATCACACACTGACACACATTGACACACACTATCACACACTGACACACACTATCACACACTGACACACACTGACACACATTGACACACACCATCACACACTGACACACACTGACACACATTGACACACACCATCACACACTGACACACACTATCACACACTGACACAGACTATCACACACTGACACACACTGACACAGACTATCGCACATTGACACACACTATCACACACTGACACACACTATCATACACTGACACACACTATCACACACTGACACACACTGACACATACACACTGACACACACTGACCCACACTATCACACACTGACACACACCATCACACACTGACACACACTGACCATACACACTGACCCACACTATCATACACTGACACATACACACTGACACACACTATCACACACTGACACACACTATCACACACTGACACACACTGACACACACTGACACACACTATCACACACTGACACACACTGACACACACTGACACACTGACACACTGACACACTGACACACACTGACACATACACACTGACACATGCTATCATACACTGACACATACACACTGACACACACTGACACACACTATCACACACTGACACACACTATCATACACTGACACACACTGACACACATACACACTGACACACACTATCACACACTCACACACTGACACACACTATCACACACTGACACACACTATCACACACTGACACACACTGACACACACTATCACACACTGACACATACACACTGACACACGCTATCATACACTGACACATACACACTGACACACACTGACACACACTATCACACACTGACACACACTATTATACACTGACACACACTGACACACACTATCACACACTGACACATACACACTGACACACACTGACACACACTATCACACACTGACACACACTATTACACACTGACACACACTATCACACACTGACACACAGGGACATATATATAATGTTCTTCATGGCGTCATACTGACACTGAGCTGAATGTGACAGGACACGTTCACACATTCACACACAGACAGGCGGGGTGTCTTGCCTAAGGAGGCAACAATAGAATGCACTAGTGGGGAGCGGGGATTGAACTATCAGTATTAAGGTTTGAGAAGGAGTGCTCTCCCACTCACAGACACTGCTGCCTCAGTTTGTAACACTTGGTGCTAAATAATAAGGAGAATTTAACCCTCAACTAGACGAGCTTTAGGATGTGACAATATCTGAAGTGTTTTCTTTGATACTCTTGTATTTATTACTGTATTTCTTCTGCTGCTTGACTGTTTGTTTGTAACAAAAATAATTCCCTCTTGGAGATGGAAAAGAAAGGTACTTCTGATTTAAACAGTGGCAAAGTTAGTCACTTCAAACCAGGAAATATCTCCACATTTCAGTTCACAAAAAAAATGTGTTTGAAATCAATTTCATTAATATAGTTAGAGTTTAAAGTTTGCTTAAATGTGGCTCTTCAAGCCAGTGAGAGGCCACAGCAGGTGTGTGTGTGTGCGCGCACGTGTGTGTGCGTGTGTGTGTGTGTGTGCGTGTGTGTGTGCGTGTGTGCGTGCGTGTGTGTGCGTGTGTGTGCGTGTGTGTGCGTGTGTGTGTGTGCGTGCGTGTGTGTGTGTGTGTGTGTGTGCGCCTGTGTGTGCGAGTGTGTGTGTGTGTGTGTGTGCGTGCGTGTGTGTGTGTGTGTGTGTGTGTGTGTGTGTGTGTGTGCGCGTGTGTGTGTGTGTGTTTACAGCAGATGTCGGGAGAACTGACCTGGATTTATCAACTACCAACATTCAACAGAATGCAGCAAAAGACTCCCTGAACATTTTTATTTCTGTTGAATATGTTTAAAGTATGTGAGTGAATATTGTAATGATTTAAAATATTAAATTGATTTTCAATGAAGTGACACATGACCACACACGATCAGACACAGGCATGTGAGCGTGAGGATGACAGGGCCCAAACATGAAGAGAAACAAGAGAACTGAACATCCTCAGCAACATTCACGATTTCAACCTCTCTTCTAGTGTCACACTATCTCCTAAAATCCAAACTCCTAGACTTTCCCTGCAGTCTCTGTTGTTATGACAACGGGAGCACGCCTTGAAAACGCAGAGGAAGTGTTGGCGCTAAACCAGTGAAATGGCAAAAAAAAAGCAAACGTGAGGATGGGAGGCTCTGATGCCCCACAGTTTCTAAGGAAGAAACTCAAAACATGCAAGATCTAAAGACCTAACATTGCAGGCAAAGTAACACTATGAGGACAAGCAGGTGGTGGACCCTCCCCCAACCACCAGCACTGCAAAAGTTACATATTGCATCTTTCTCTTGACATCATGAGGGTAAATATCCAGCTGTGGGGCTTCCTTGTGACTGTGGAGGTCTCTGCAACTGCTCATAGCTCGAAATAGCCCAGGTTTGTCTAATCCCAACACAGAAGGAGAGACAGAGATGTACACAAATGAGATTATATACTGCCACGTCCATTTTCAAATTGTTGCGGGGTAAAAGTACATCACAAAGTACAGACTGAAGGCCGTGTTGTTGACGGAGCTGAGTGATCGTCATGGTAACCAGACACATTCTCCATACACTGGTTTGTACAGAGCTGTGGAGACTTTGTCTGCTGCTCAGAGAGACATGGGACGGACATGGGTACTACAGTACTCTCGTGTACTGAGGGTATTTGCAGAGCTTGTACTTGTGGAGTTGAAGTAGGAGTAGTACAATGAGTGTTATGTAACTTTAGCTGAGGGCTCTTACACTGTGGCCTTGGACAGTGGAAACACAAGAGACTGGATCACTACATCTCTGTTAGTTCACACAAATGCAACGCTGTTTCACACATGCAGCAAATTCATACTTTTGTTGGTGTAGTAATCGTGTTATTATCATAGATATACAGTATCTATGTTTATCATGTAGTTTCCACATCACACACAGACCTGGAGTTGCTTCATTCACACATGTTTAACGCACAAACCCTGCACGTTTAGACTGTGCTTTTCTCTCAAACTGAAGACACAAAAAAAAAAGAGTAGGGGCGTGCAAAAACATAGAAATATTGATATATATCATGTCATTTAATGTGATGATACAGTATGGATACCGTGGGCTGCTGTATTGATATATCGCAACAGTATTTCTGGTATATTTTACTAAATTGTTTTGGTATTTGTTCAGAAGAAGGAAAGTTTTTATGCAACACATTTGACATATTCACTGTTTTCATGATTAACTTTGCACAAGAAGTGGTTTAACAAAGACAGACATGAGTTAAGCTTTATTTTTTATTGAACTGTATCGAATTGAAAGCTCACTGTGTCGAGATATGTACCGTACTGTGGCATATATATCGAGATATGTATCGTAAAGTGGCCTATGTATCGAGGTACGACGATATTGTATCGGCAACTTCTTAATGATACCAGCCTTACTTGTGATGTCATGTGGTAATACTGTGGATCTATATTTAGAAATGAGCAGAGGCCATTGAAAACAAAGCAACGCCGTCCTAGGTTCAGCTTCCAGATTTGATTATAGTTCTACTGGTAATGCAGGAAGTGCTCCAGCATGTTTCTAAACTCCAGACAGCTTCATCAGAATCATTTGGATCATTTCAGCCTTGGAACTGCAGATCTCAACTGAACTAAAGCAAAAGTAAACTGTTCACTTGAAAACTGCACCTTCATTTTCAACTTTGGAGATGTAGACAGACTAATAATAAAGAGTTACTCAAACATGTGTGAATGAAACAAAACACAACTCCAGATGTGTTTTTGAGAAGGAAACAACATTATAACCTGTCTTAAAGTTTAATATACTGTATGTTCATGGTTGAACATACGCAGAGGTAATTCCATAACTGTTACCTGCAAGCATGATGTAAACAAGGGCCAAAATCTGTTTCAATACTTAGGATTATATAAAAATAGATGACAACATTTGTATTTTGTTAAATGACTATCAGGAATATGTTGTCTTGTACATAAATTGTCTCTGCATTTTGTATAGTTTTTTAAGCAGTACAATTCTGTTTTACTCTTTTTCTCCACAGACTGTCACTAAACTGATGTAAAACTATGACAAATATTGACCACAGGTACCATCACCAAACCAAGTCAGAATTCAAAACACATGAAAAGCTTTAAGCTGTAATTACATAATATAAAGTGAGAGATTTGAGTTCTTACCGATGGTGAAGCTGAACCCGTCTATACTGAAGGTGGCGCTGCGGCACTTTTTAATGCCTTGTTTCTTTGTGCTCTCCTGTGCCATGGTCCCACACTGTCCTCTGTCCCACACTGTCCTCTGTCTTAGCCTGTCCCAGTCCCCTCACTGTCCCTCATGTCTCCTAGCTCCTCGTCTCCTGTCCTCTGTGTGGTGCCCTGCACACTTGACGCTCCCTCCCTCTTTCGCTCTCTTTTACGATCTCTTCTCTCCTCCTACCGCCCTCTCTCCTCCCCCCGTGTCTATGTCTCTCTCTCATGCTCCATCTCTACCTCTCTCTCAATCCCTCACTGTCTTCTCTCTCTCTATTTCTGTTTTCTCTTCTTCTTCCCTTCTTTTCAGTCTTTCAGTCTTTCTCCCTCCCTCATTTCTCCCTCTCTCTGTCTCTCCCTCCCTCGTTTTGCTCTCTCTCTGTCTCTCCCACCTTTCTCTCTCCCTTCCTCAATTCTTCCTCCTTGTCTCTCCATCTCCATCCTTTCTCCCTCCCTTACTCGTTTCTCTCATTTCTCCTTTCTCTCTCCTTCCTTCATTTCTCCCTCTCTGTCTCTCCCTCTTCCTCCTTTCTCTCTCCCTCCCTCATTTCTTCCTCCTTGTCTCTCCCTCTCCCTCCTTTCTCTCTCCCTTCTTTGTTTCTCCCTCTCTCTGTGTTTCTCCCTCTCTCCCTCCCACACCTCTCTCTATATCTCTCTCTCTGTCTCTTCCTCCTTTGTTTTTCTCTTTCTCACTCTACCACTCTCATTTCTATCTCTCTCTCTGTCTCTGTCTCTTTCTCTCTCTCTCCCTTTCCCACTCGTGTCTCCCTCTCCCTCCCTTCCTCCCTCTCTCCTCTCCTCTCGTCCTATGTTTTGGTGGATTGGCACTTGTCGGGTGTGATTAGGGCCACTCGACTGCGTGGTTCGCGTGCTTTGTTGCCAGGCTGCGGTCGGAGAACCCCCCCCCCGAGGGTATACCTCTCATGGGGGTGAGAGGAGAGGCGGGGGAGGGGAGGGGGAGGGGGGTGAGGAGGTGATAATGACCACAATTAGCACAACAGACTTAAAGACGAACACACAGCACAAAGCACAAGTGATGTAACTATTAAGATCCACTTGTCGCTATGGAGACACGCAGGTGGAACCGCAAGTCAAAATGACAGGTCAGGTCTGTGGAGACGTGAGCCTGTTCTTTTGTAGACACTTGACACAATTTATCTGTTTTGTTGCTATGACGTTGTTATGAGGAAATTCTTAAAGATTCTTCTTAAAAGTTGTAGTTTTGTGAGATGACTTGTAAGACTCTCACTGTGTATTTGTACTTGAGTATTATTTTTGACGTAACAGTAATCTTTCTTGGCACTATGTAACTATATACCTCTATGCCTGTCTCCAAGGAGATGTTATTTCTTGTCTAGAATGTTACACAGTATTACATTAAAACAGAGGTGGGGCCACATGAGAAACAGAAAATATTGTGAAGGCCAAAATGCTTTACTCAGGCGTGAGATCAAATGATAAAATATGTTTATTTTGTAATTCAGAATGAGGTTAAACGGGCTGGACAGAGTCGACAGAAGGGCCGTGTGTGACCCCAGAGCTGGACAATGCCCAGGTCTGATCTAGCATATCTATCTCCACCAGTAGACTAAGTTACCAGTCAGATCTGTGTTGAGGCAACCCCATTAACAGTTAGAATGTATGTGTTTCTTTCAGCAGTAAGGAATAAGCGCAAGATCCATACTGTGGAACATTTGTAATTAGACTGGCCAACCTGTAGTTGTTGTATTCTTACATATCACCACTAGAGGAGACTTATGTTACTGCTGTCGGGCCATGTGTGGTTTCATAACAGATGGTAGCTGTTATGTTTCACTCCATAACCTTTAAAAAAGATGGACAAAACTAAAAAATAATAAAGTAGAGCCTATAATCCTGTAGTGGACATGTATTAACAAATGTCAATCTTTTTATGTCTGTACATGACAGTCGCTTTAGGTGGAGGGTGAGGGGGTGATAGACTCCCTCAGTTGTCTCAAATAGAAACCTTTTGGATTGCAACATTAAAGGCCACAGAACACCCAGGCCTAAATGACAATCTGGATTATTTCATGTTCCTCTAAAACTTTGAAAACTTTCTTGGCAATTCCTTAACCTGATATACCTATATATATAACCCTATATATTGATGTTTTCATCTGTGATCCAGTGTGTCCTACTGTAGAATTACATAACTGATAGCAATACAGATGTGATGGACACACCCACCTGTCTCCAACATGTCCTGTGTGTCTTGTTGCTGTTTTGTGGGTCTGCCCAACACTTGGACTTTCCTCATGGTTGGCCAACCTTTTTTGTTTCTTTTTCCTATAGTCATGTGATCCTGTCATGTGATTTTAAGTGTATTTAATGACACCTGTGGGTCCTGTTTCACCCTTATGCCCTGACCAAGACCATCCTGCTCCCTCCATGCAATAAAGGACTTTTAATATATTCACTCAGTGTTCCTCGGGTTTGTACCCTGCCCTTTTTTATATTTTTCGTGAGGTGGCTATAATGTTCCACAGATTGGTTGTGAGCTTATCTATATTGCTTGTTTCCCATTACAGGTGTGTCAAAACTATCTTGAAAAACTGTCAAACTGTATCTTGACCTGAGTGGAGCTGTCTCTTACTTGCTTTCATGGCACATGGCATACTTTTTCTTGAAGACAAAATGTCAGTACTTCTCAACCATGTGTGTAGTATCTGAGATGAGAGGAATAAGCACCACCAAATCAGGCCATGGTCCAGCAGAGAGCGCTGTCTCCCCCTCTGGTGAGGACAGTCGTCTAAGCACACATCAGAACAGTTACACGATCTCACCGGCCAATCATGTGAACCCACTTCATCTGAAACAGAAACTACATCAGCGGGTCAGAAAAAGCAGCTGATGTTTAAAGGTCTTCTATCACACAAAACTGAATCTTAGGACCGTTAAGCCATGTTAGAATGTTCCCTCAGACCTGGAGTTCTGTGTTGTTTCTTTCACACATGTAGGAGTGACTCTTTATTATTAGTCTGTCTACATCTTCAAAGATCAAACTGCTCTGATAGTTTTCAAATTAACACCAGCTTTTACCTTTATTTCAATAGAGATTCAGGACACCAACAGTAATAATCTTAATAGATGGGTCATATTCAGGGGAGAGAGGTGAAAGAAAGTTGTTTTTTGGTATTGGTTTATTTGCTTATTTGGTTTTAACTCAGCATTCATCTGGGGAACAATTTTTGTAACTCAATTTATCTCCAGTTGTTTGTACCTGTCAGTGTTTGTCCTTGTGCCATAGAGTCACTGTTTGGATAGGTTTGGTCAGTTCAGTTCTCAGAAGGTGAGCACGTTGGGCACCAGATAGAGCAGCACGTGGCTGAAGACGGGGAGTGGACAGTTGGCATTTTAAGGTGAGATCTGACCATAACAAAGATGACATGTGCAATTTAATTTCTTTTTTGAAGGCAACAGAAGCATAAACACGTTCTGATACATGACAAAGCATGCACATGATAATCAGAGGGAACTGTACTGCTGTTGGTACTGGTCTCTTGTATGTTTGGGAAGAAAGAGGAGGACAGTTGATTAAATGGAGATGGTTTAATTCCCTTCTCATGATCTCTATTTGTCCAATGATTGTCTGATTTACTGATGTCGTCCCGTCCTCCTTCATGTTTCCATAGAGAATCTGAAAACTGAAAACAGAACAGAAATTAAATAATACTCATAATTCAAAATAATGTTTGGCAGTAAATTAATTTAGGATTAATATATATTGAGAACATAATTTGGCAAAAGTATACAATAACTTACATTTGTAATGAAACTAAAGATGCATGGGCAACACAGGAGAACAACAGGCCACAGAAACAGGAAGGTCCACTTCAGATCTCTCTAGCCTGGTGTGACTCTGCGCCCAGGTACAACCACAAACCCTACTAGTTGGGAGCCAAAGTCTCAAAAGCCCTAGAAAATGGGTTGAACCTGACATCGCCTGCCATACTTTTTATTTGTGTTTTTTTTGTTAACTGTGACCCTGAGGATCAATAATTGGAGGGTCTGCTCTTCCGGAAATATCACGAAAAAAAATTGTGGCCATTTTAGTGTAGGTAACCTTCATTTTGTGATAGAAAATTTTGAAAAATGAAAAATTTCCTCAAATCCTCAGTGGATTGGGTAAACTGTCTACAAATACATTCCAGATGCAAAGAACACATGTGGTGACAACATTCAGTGAAAAAAATATTCATAAAACACATTTCTACATGATTCTGGCTCAATTTAATGCCAAAAAATAAGGCATTTTTTCACTTTTTTCCAGTATTTTCATCTTTACTTCATTGGCAATCAACTATTCCCCCAAGTTTTGACATCAGCCAATATGCCATTCTTTTCTTCAAACAGTATAGTCATTCCACAGAAAAAATATAAAAATCCAATCAAAATCAATGGATCTGTGATGATTTCATTACCATCAACAGGCCCAGAACCTCAATAGAAAGTTAGGCTCCTCTCAACATTCCATAAGGCACACTGGATATTTAGCATGGTTGTTAATGTCCACATTATTAAACATCATGGCCTAGGCATCTTTTAAATAATACTACTACTACTACTACTAATAATAATAATAATAAATATAGCCGCAAGCGGCAATGATCGGCCCTCGCTTGAGCCTATGCCATGCCCATGCCACGCCGCACCCCGGCCACGTTGAGCTCTGCACATGCCGTGCCCCACGAGTGCACCTTACTCATTGATCTAACTTCTAAATTAACACTAACCCCTAAACATACGTGCACTCCTAACTAGGGATGGGCATTCGATGAAATTTTCTTAATCGATCGTCGGAAGAATTAACGATCGATTATCGATTAATCATTAACGTTTTTATATTAAAATGATCATCATTATTATTACTATCTGCACTACTAATCTGCATGAATAAATTCAACTTTACGACATATAAACCGTAACCACTCTAGAGCCACATCAATCCGTTTGAGATTTTAATGTGTTTAATTCAGTTTTGTTCAACTCTCACAG